GTAAAACTTATCTTCCTCCCTGCCTAGTTCGGGTGGAATAGATAAGCCTTATCAGTTGGCAATGTTATCCCCTAATTAACGTGGAAACGAATCTCGTCTTAACGAGGATCCCGGAACTGCTCCGCGAAACCCGTGAGGACTTCACTATTTAAAGGCTCCAACCCCGAGGGCACAAGGTGCACGTGATTTCTCTGCTCTCCAGCTCTCTATATTCTCAAGCTATTTCAGCTTGCAACAAATATACTAACTTAAGCATCGGAGCGACCTCGCCGGGCTAGCCACCCCGGGTTCTCTGGTCGTCTCCTTGTAGATCAACCTTGTCCGTCATCTGACTGGAAGCCAGGTCACCTTCAGCGGGGAGCAGCTAGATCACGCTACATCATTTGGCGCCATCTGTGGGAAATGTTACAGGAAAGCCTTTTCCACCAACAACAATAGCAATGGCATCTTCCAGCAACGCCAGACAAAACAATGAGGCAAACGTCTCCGGGGGGCAGTCTTAGATCCCGTCTGTTTGCATAGGTCAGTTTACCATACCGTTTACTGCGGCTGGGGTCCCAACGTTGGCCATGCCTCAAGCGACTGCACAAGTGAACGCACCACTCCCTCCTGTAGTCGGCGCGACATTCGCTGAACCATCTATGGTTCCCCTGGAGTCGAGCAATCCCAGCTTGACAACCTGGTACACTGCGTTCGGGCCATTCAGGTCCAAATGCAACAGGTCCAGCAGTTCCAACACTATCAACAACAACTCCTCCATCATTTCTACTAGCAATAGTTCCCTCCGCTGTAGTAGAGTCAGCAGCCGGTTCCGCCTCAGCACTCGGTAGTGCAGCAGAATCAACGCCGTTAGCAGAACACTCGCCCTCCCCGCCGAGGCGAGACCTCCCAAGTCCCACTTCCTCTCAGGAGCCAGGTCTCATCCCGCAGTAGGAGGGACGGACATATCACTCTGCCCGCTTCGCGGAACTTGAATAGATCAGGAGATACTCAGCCCGCCAGGGCCATGTTACCTCGGCCTTCTCATCAAGAGGGCTCACTCGCAGGCAACCGGTTTGGGCCCCTGGCTGCGGACTCAAAGCAAGGCCCTTTTATTCATGGTAGCAGCCTTAGCACTCAGAGCCACTCCGTGCCAGAACGATACCCGATCATACAGAAGTCAGCAGCACTAATGCGGAGCTGGTCAAGAAGCAGCAATGAAGGCGTCGCAAGGCACGCCGAAGTACAACTCATAGCCAACTCATCGGGCCCAGCCAGCCAGAGCAAGTAAAAGGTAAAGAAGAGGCGAGCTCGACAGCTACTAAGACTGCTCCTCTCCTGTCCGGGTCATCTCCTCTATCCTCCGAGCTCCTGGCGGCCTCAATGACAAAAGATTTTAAAATGCCTCATCTGGACAAGTACGATGGATCCTTCGATCCAAATGATCATGTAGAATCCTTCCAGTCCTAGATGCACCTAGCTGGGGCTAACGAGTCCTGCATGTGCGTAGCCTTCTCCACAACATTTAAAGGAGTAGCTCGCACGTGGTACAGGAACCTCGCGCCAGGGACGACCAGAAGTTGGGCGTAGTTCGCAGAATTGTTCACCTCGCACTTCATCACCAGCAATAAGTGTCCGAGGTCCCAAGAAAGCCTCCTAAACATAGTTCAGAGAGAAGGTGAGTTAATTAGAATCTATATCAAATGCTTCAACGACACCTGCTTACAGATCCCCGATCTAGATTCAGCAGTGAGGCTCACAAAACGACGCCAATTGATGAATCAATTTTTTGTGCTAAGTATCTCGTCATTTGGTCTGAGCTGGGGGTAGATTAGGTGTCGAGTTATAACTGGGCCGAGCTGGACAGGTTAGGTGTCGAATTGATTGGGCCGAGTTAGGCAGGTTAGGTGACAAGCTAACTGGGCCGAGCTAGGCAGGTTAGGTGACGAGCTGACCAAGTAGCTTGACACTTTGGTCAGCTCGACACCTAATAGGCAGCTCGACCCTCCAGTCAGCTCGTCACCTAACCTGCCTAGCTCGGCCCAGTCAGCTCATCACCTAACCTGCCTAGCTCGGCCCAGTCAGTTCGACATCTAACCTGCACAGCTCGGCCCAGTTAACTCGACACCTAATCTGCCCCCATCTCAAACCAAATGACGAGGTACTTAGCACAAAAAATTGATACATCACGAAAAATTGATTCATCAAATTCCCTTTTTAATTTTAATGTTCAAAAAGTTTTCCCTTCTCAAATATTTGCTCTTAATAATTTTTACCCACAAGTTATTTTTCCCATTCAGTATCCTCCACCCTAACTTAGCCAAGCTGACCTCATTGACCCAATATAGTCTTCTTACTCCCATACCTCCCCACCTTTTGGGAGTGTAGATTTTTTCTAAATTCATCAAGTGGAGGGTTTTCTTACCATTAGTGTTGCCCCAATGAAATTCTATTTGAATTTTATCCAATTCATCTATAGCACTTTTAGGGAGTTTGAATTAACTCATTATGTATCGAGGCATCATGTTTATTGTTGAATTAATGAAGGTTAATCTACCCGCAATTGATAGGGAATGCATTTTTTTTCCAATTTGCCAATTTATTCATCATTTTCTCTTTAATATGAGTAAATATATTATTTGTAACTCTTCCAGTGATAATGGAAGCCCCTAAACAAGAATTAGATTTAGCCTCTAGAGAGATTTTGAGCATTTTAGAGAGCATTTTCTGGAATATACGAGGAGTATTCTTTGAAAAACAAACTGCAAATTTGTTAAAATATGGACATTGGCATGAGGCTTTTGCATAATTTGTAATGATTTCCTTAATTTTCATGCACGTAGGAATGGTAGTATTTGTAAAGATGAAGCAGCCATCTGCAAATTGTAGGTTGGAAATCTTTGGACCCCCTCTTGAGACTCTACAACCATTTTGCTTTTCATTTTCCCTTGCTTCCTTTCCTAGTTTCTTTAAAAGCACTTCGGCACATAGAACAAAAATGTAAGGAGATAGAGAGTCCCCTTGCCTAATGCCTCTACTTGGTTTAAATTCATCTGCCAGACTCCCATTGATTAAGATCTTATAGGAGACCGTTTTTATACACTCCATAACCTATGCAATCCATTTCTCATGAAAGCCAAATTTCTTTAGAACTTTATCAACAAATTCCCATTCCAGTTTATCAAAGACCTCATCCATATCAATTTTATAGGGCATAATCCTTGAGTCTCTTTTATTATTTTTTTCATAGTATGTATCATCTCATGTGCAATTAGGATATTATCATTTATTTATCTATTTGACACAAAGGCACTCTGATAAGGGGATATAATTTTGTCTAGGAGATGTTTAATCCTATTGACAAGGATTTTAGTAATGATTTTATAAATGACATTACAGAGACTGATAGGCCTGTAACCATTCACAATTTTAGGGTTCTTCTTTTTTGGGATGAGAGTGATAAAAGTTTGGTTTAAACCATTGCCTATATTTTTTTGGTGGAGTGAGATGTAATTCTTGGTTGGTCATTAATCCAATCGTCCTCATCATTTTTTATTTTAATAATTCTATTTCGATGTTTTCTAATAGTAGCCATTGTATGAAATAACTTATTATTCCTGTCTCCCAAATTGATTCAGTCAATTCTTGCTGTTTGAGCCCAATAACCCTCATCCTTTTTCTAATAGTTAATCAAGTTGTTTTGAAGAGCATTCTCAAAACCAAGGTTATCGACCTGGACAATGAACCGGTTAGGGGTTTGTTTACTGGGTCAAATAGTCTGACAGTTCGAACCGAACAGACGATTCGTTTTGACAAAAAAATTAAAAAATCGACCAAACCGTTGAACGATTCGACTGCTCAGGTCAACAATTTGTTGACCAAATCAACGGTTTTAGGGGAATAACAATTATAGGGTAAAACGAAACCGATCACCTATTCCCAGATTTTGGTCCAACCATCCGATCTGGTCCAATTTTGAAAACCATGCTCAAAATTGAAGGAAAAAACATTATTTAAATTTTTAGATTTTTTTTTTTAAACTTGATTTAACCTTTGTTTTGGAAGTGCATAGGTAATCCATACACCGGAATATATCTCTACATTGCTACATAATAGAGACAACTAAGAACTAGGTCATTGGACTGTTTCTTTTAATAGGTAATCATCAAAGGAAACTATCAATTGGACGTTTCTCCAACATCTATATTTAGTATAAACATTTTATGACTATTTTAACTCAAAACAATCTCAATAAAAATTGACATCTAAACTCAAAATACCTAAATAATACTGACGTATCAGCATTTCAACTAGAAACATCCATTGCGCCAAACAACCATAGATAACCACACATGTATGTAGTCGGTTCGGGTCATACACAGTCCAACAAACATCCAACCACCAGATATGGTATGCGGCTGGAGGACGGTTCCCTTTTTTGGGTAATAGGTCAACAGTTGGAGGACTTGATAAAATGCAATACGTCCTACATTGATTGATGCCATGTTCCAAACCTATGGCGTATTAAGCATTTGTAAGATATACAAGAAAATAGCTCGTGTGCTTGGCATTTGCTCTTGGAAGCAAGCATAGAACTAACACTTGTCCAAATCCAGTCCTACATCTAGACCAAGTGTTCATCAGTTCGTTCTCGCCTGTAACCTCTACTGCTTTCGTTCACTGGGCAAAACTCTGAAACACGGACGGAGCAGAGTTAGCATAGTTGAATCTGGTCAACGTTACATTGGCTCCGTTGGATCAGAATCCACTCCGTTTAGGCAAATAGCTATTCGGTTCTCACTTGTTCTCACTTCTCACGTTCGCCGTTCGCGCCAATTCCTGAAAGGGTAGTCTGGTCTCTTTCCTCTCTGGAACCCAATAATATCCATTTGTTTAAGGCATTTTGGCGACGTGTTTGGATTCTATTGCTGGGAATATATCCTCCCTATTACCAAAGTAATAGAGAATTCGAGATCCTTTAAACGACGCTTAATCATAATTCTTCTTGTTATTTCTAATTTTTCTCTCCGTCGTTTTTATTTTTGGTTCCGTTTTATTTTCTTTACCTCTGAGGACTTGGGCCTCTTCGCAACTTAGAGCTTCTGTTGTTGGAGACAAAGGTCGATGCTAAAACCACTGTAAGAGCGGGAATTTCGTGCACTTTTTCTTCTGCAGAAACTTGGTTACAATATCGCTTTCATGCAATATTTTTGGTATTTCTTTGGTTTTAAAGGTACTGTTATTTATTAGAAATTTTTATCATTCGATGAAACTAGTCTTTCATTTCGATCGTTTCAGTTTTCTTGTTCCCAACTGGGATTTCTTGTCACGAGTATGTTTTCCTCTATTTCTCTTAGTTTACGACGAATTTCATCTTGAAAATTTACCAACTGTCTATATTTGTTGTTGATATATATATATATATATATATATATATATATATATTTTCTGTTATTACTTTGCGATGAGTTCAAGTCATTATTTCTTCTCTATTGTTCTGTTGTTGATTCAAACCATTTCTGTAGGTGCTAAATATAAAAAGGGGTTTCATGGAGCGATTTGTGAGTGTAATTGTAGTTCAGAGCTGCCGCATTCCTTAGACTGAGATCCCCCGTTGCTAGGGTTATTTTAAAGTCAATGTAGCTCAAATTTAGAAGACAAAAAAGAAGGAATATTCAAAGAATTAAAATCAATTCAAGGAATTAAAATCAAGAGATAGAAGATTTTTGGTTATATAGGATATCATTGCACTTGTAAATAGAAGTAACATCTACTTTAAGTAATGGGCCCTTTTCAGGTATCGTGAAGGGGAAGAAGAAATTCAGAGCAGGCTTTGATTGCTGATGAATGTTCTACCATATAACTTGTATATATGGCAGAGTGAAGAATAACCCACTTCTTGTCTTTTCCTACTAAATGTATATGAGTGTGAAAATAAAATGTCAAATAGAAAGATGTTTGGTTGATTATTTAAGAAGTTAGAAATGGAAAGTTTTTTATTCGTTTTCTCTAGGCAAGCTTTGCATCCTCAATCAGGAGGTTTAGGTGGTCGGAGGGTTGTTTGGTGAAAAACGTAACATGTAAAGTTGTTCTTCTTTCTGCGGATGCTAATACTTGTATCGATTTCTTTTTTTTTGGTTTGTTGGATTGTTATTTTGAGCTTTAAGGACATGGGGAAAGTAACAGGCAATCCAAGTTGTCCTGAAGTATTTGTTGGGATCTGTTAGTGGCTTTCATGTTGTTTTCCATGATATGGTGCTTGAATTTCTATATTTAGAAAACATTCTTTTAGTTCAAATAAGGAAGGAAAGGTTTTGTTTTTCATCAGGACCTGGAGAAGGCTTATGATCATGCTGATTGGGGTTTCTTGCAGTGGGTTTTGAAGAAAATGGGTTTTGGGCAAAGGTGGGTAAATTGGACGATGGGCTGTTTGAAGAATACCCATTTCTCAATCATCATCAATGGTTCTCCTAGAGATTTTTTTTTTTTTTGAGACATCTAGGGGTTTGTGACAGGGGGACCCTTTATCCCCAATGTTGTTTACCTTAGTGGCTGATTTAGCAGATTGCTGAAGAGGGCTGATGAAAGAAACATTTTTTGAGGTTTTAGAGTGAGGGAGGGAAACCAAGTAGTGTCCCATCTACAGTTTTCAGATGACACCTTATTTTTAGGTGAATTTAGGGGAATCCAAGATGTGAGAACTTTAAGGCAGATTTCTGAGATAGCTGAGAGGGTAACTGGGTTGAAAATCAACTTAAGGAAATGTAGGCTGCTGGGTATTGGTTTGGAGAGGGGGGTATTCAAGGAGGCAGCAGTGGTTTTAGGATGTGAAATTAGGGAATGGCCTTCCAAATATTTAGGGTTGCCTCTGGGAGGAAATCCAAGAGAGGGGAGTTTTTGGGAGGGTGTAATAGAAGTGTTTGTTGAGAGGTTGGCATCATGGAAAAAGAATTATATTTCAAGGGGGGGGTGACTTTGATCAAATACACTCTGTCCAAACTTCTGGTGTACTTTTTGTCTGTTTTTAAAGCCCCGGTTGAAAAGGATTAAAAAGTGACTTCTTGTGGGACCCATGGGAGAGTCAATGTAGTCATTTGCTGAACTGGAAGGAGGTGTGTAAACCAAAAGAGTTGGGTGGATTAGAAATAGGTAGGATCTAGGAAAGGAACTGAGCTTTGCTAAGGAAATGGCTTTGGAGGTTCCTGAGGGAAGAAAGCCTTTATGACATTTGGTAATTAATAGTATTTATTGCTTACACCTGAATGACTGGGACTCTGAACCAGCTAGAGGGCAATATTAAGATATGATGCAATTTCTGGACTTGAGGTGAAGTTTTGGGCAGAACGTGGTGGGGGGATTGTCCTTTGCTTCAATCTTTCCCTAGAATCTATAACCTATCCAATTACAAGAGCAAACCAATTGCTGATATGGTAGTTCTAGGTGAGGAGGGACTATTTTGGGATTTGGGTTTGAGAACACCTTTGAGGGACCATGAAACAATTGATCTGATTCTCCTTTTGAATTTACTTCAGGAGGTCAATTTTTCCCATGGGGGGATATGAAAGGGTTTGGGTACCAACCACTTTGGGTAATCTTTTTTTTTTTTTTGATAACAAGAAAATTTCATTAAAATAAAAAATATTGATTACAGAGTCAGGTGTTGAGAGGACAGCAAAGACCAATTACAGAGCATTCTCAAGATTACATTCTTGAATTTCATGAACATCCCAGAAATTAGACACTAGTCTGAAGCATTTACTTGAGCAAAGTCAGGTAAGATGAGCACCCAATTAATGACAGCCCTTCCAAGTTCCAATAGATGCCACAATCTTCTCTGTCTCCCACTGCTTATCCTCAAACACTCACCTGTTTCTTTCTCTCCAAATGGACCAGCAGACAGCTAATGGTATGCAACTCCACACTATTTTAGCTTTCTTACTCCCCCTATATGACGGCTACTTAGAGTAGATTTCAATAGCTGTCTCCTACTGCTTATCTTCAAACCTTCCACCATTGCTCATCTCTTGATGAACTTGACATCTTTGATTTTTCCAAGACTTCCAACAACCTAACACCAAGAAGCAAGTGAGATTTTTTATTTCTTGGTTAAACTTCATGATTCCTTTCCACACACTCACCCCATATGAAGACGAGACTTCTCTTGATTCCCATCCAAATCCAACGACCCTATACATTCCAACCGCCATCCTCCATAAAAATTCCCTCTCATTCTCTAAGCTGACCCTCCACACCCACTTACCCAGCAATGCTTTATTGAAAGTTCTCAATCTTCTAATCCCCAAGCCCCCATTCTTTTATGGGCGTGCTTCTTTTCTTAAAACGTTTTTGCAACCCACTGAAAACCAACTTTACCATATTGGGGAGGTGTGGCATAGCCCTATCCCTCCTAAAATTAAGATGTTTTGCTGGGAGGTTGTTAACCAAATCATAGAAGCATTTACTTTTTAAGAAGAGCACAACATTTAATGTTGCTTTTTATTTTTTTTATTTTTTTGATCAATAACTGTGAAATTTCATTGATGGAAAAAAGGGGCGAGTACAATTAAAGAAAACAAACAAAGAGAGATAAACACTCTTATTATCCCCAAATAACTCTTTTTTCTTTCTACAGTTGTGCCCTAAGTAGTTGAGCCTTTCCCACTTCTTGTTTAGCTAAAGCATCACCTAAGGCATGTAGATCCTTTATCCCCTTTCTTGTTCACCCTTATTGCGGAGGTCTTGAGTAGAATGATCAGTAAGGATGACTTTGAAAACCAATTTAGAGGGTGGAGAATTTGCAGAAATGAGTTTATGGTGACTCACTTGCAATTTGCTAATGACGTAATCATTTTTTGTGAGGACTTTACAAGGCTCAACTTAAGAAACTTGAAAGCCTTAGTTGATTGCTTCCAAAGAATATCAAACTTGAAAGTCAATTGAGGAAAAAGTTGTGTGGCGGGGATAAACTTGGGAGACAATTGCATTTCTTTGTTGGATGAAATCTTAGGTTGTGAGGTGAGAAATTTGCCCCTAGAGTATCTTGGTATGCCATTGGGGGAGGAAACCTTAGAGCAGATAGCTCTGGAAACCAATAGTGGAAAGGTTTGCTTAAAAAGTTAGCCTTTTGGAAGAGAAGCTACATTTTTTTTAGGAGGAAGAATCACTTTGATCAAATCCACTCTAGCAAATTTGCCTACTTTCTACCTATCCACCTTTAGAATCTTGATCAAAATAGCTAAGTAGCTAGAAAAAATGATGAAGGATTTTTTGTGGGAGCTAGGAGATGAAGAGAAAGATCATTTGGTGAAGTGGGAGCATGTGTGTAAATCTAAGGAACAAGGAGGTTTGGGTATTGGGAATCTGATTAAAAGGAATACAACTCTTCTAGGAAAGTTGCTTTAGAGATTTCCCATAGAGGAAGACAGACTATGGAACAAGGTTCATGGAAGCATTCATGTAGTGGAAAATGGCTAGGATGCAAAACTTGTGCCTCACACTGCTTCAAATTCCCCTTGGAAAGCAATCTCAGAGGTACTGCCTACCTTTCTCAACTTTCTCCGTTTTGATGTGGGATGTGGGAAAACAATTGCTTGGGGATTTGCCATTCAAATCACAATTCCTTGTACTTTACTCGTTAACAAACCTTAAGAATGAACATGTTTCTAGATTTGGGTTGCCCCTTAGAAGTTAGAACATGGATTGAACTAGGACTTTGGTTTCAGAAGGGGTTTGAGGGATAATGAGTATGGAGTATGAATCCCTTATCATCCTACTCTCACTTTTGGAAAAAGGTTTTTTGGATCAAAATCTTATGGATGGTAGAGTTTGGTACCCCTCACCTGATGGCCTCTTTTCTTGTGCTTCTTTCTTTAACCTTCTAATCAGCTTAGAACCTTTGGGGTGAATTTCCCGGTGAGAGAAATCTGGTGCAAATCAATCCCTTCTAAAGTATAGGTTCTTTGTTGAGAAGTTTTCCTTGGAAAGATTAACATGTGTGATGTGCTATAGAAAAGAAGGCCAAATAATTGCCTTTCTCCTCATGTGTGTCTCCTTTGTAAGGCTAGTGGTGAGACCCTTCCTCATTTACTAATCTCCTGTTTTTTGGTGACTTGTATTTGGGATTACTTTCGTTCTCTCTTTGGCTGCAGATGGGTTCCCTCACAGGATGTGGTTAGTTTATTCAAATTTAGTTTCTTGAGGCAGCAGAATAAAAGGAAAAGATGTTTGTGGAAA